CCAGGCTGGCCTCAACCCCATGAGACTCTTGCCCATGCAACCCACCTGGCCATTCTTTTCTTCTTTTATTTATTTATTTTTGGCAGCAATGGGCCTTGAACTCAGGACCTCATGTTTACTAGGAAGGTGCTCTTACTGTTTGAGCCAGTCCCCAGCCAGCCCTCTTTTTCCTTTTATCTTTTTTTTTTTTGGCTCCTCTACCTGTTATTTATTAAGTTCCTTAATCTTCTAAAAGAATTACACAAAAGAATTCTTCATCTATGTGTGATACTGTCGTTAGGGACATATTGTGGTTGGAAAATGAAATTAAAGGTCATGAGTGAGGAGAGAGTAGGGACAAAGTCTGACCCCATGGCCCAGGAGGTATGGAGGCAAAAGGAATAGCAGACAGTCATCCTTTTTCATTAGAGGTGAGTTGGTAGATCTAGCCCAAGCTCAAAGGAAGTGGACATTAGGGTATGAATGGCAGGAAACAGAGATGGTCGGGGTGTTTGGGGGCTGGGGACACCTTAGAGGCTGCCTACCACAGGAAGCCACTGGCGTTCTAGCGAGAGAGAGACAGGATCAGGATTTATTTATTTATTTATTTATTTTTGTGGTACTGGGGTTTGAACTCAGGGCCTCAAGCTTGCTAGACAGGTGCTGTACCACCTGAGCTACACCCTTAGCCCTGGTTATTTTAAAAATAGGCAATTTAGCCAGGCACCAATGGCTCAAGTCTGTGGCTCATGCCTGTAATCCTAGTTACTCAGGAGGCAGAGGTCAGGAGGACTGTGGTTCAAAGCCAGCCCCCGGAAAGAGTTCTTGAGACCCTATTTCAAAAATACCCAACACAAAAAAGGGCTGGCAGAGAGGCTCAAGTGGCAGAGTGCCTAGCAAGCATGAGGCCGTGAATTCAAACCCCAGTACCACCAAAAGACAAACAAACCAAAAAAACAAAGGCAATCAAGCTGGGCACTGTGAGACATGCTTGTAGTCCTACCCACTCTAGAGGATTCTTCAGGCAGAAGAATTGCTTGAGCCCAGTTCAAGACCAGCCTAGGAGATAGAGTGAGATCCTGTCTCACTCACATAAAGAAAAGGTTTGGGGTGTAGCTCAATCCCCAGTACTATCACATTCTCCACTCCCCAAAAAAATCCAACCCCAGAAAATGAAAGGTTTAGAGGGTGCAGGACGAAAATCTTCCTTCTACCCTTTCCCTGCCATCTAACTCCTCCTTCCCGGAGACAGCCAGTGTTCCTGCCACTCATTTGTAGTACTCACTGGTGTTAAACACCAAATATTTCCAATTCTGTTTTCATTCCACATCTATAGGAATTATCCAGGTATCTATTTCTGTGTCACAAACCTCTCTAACTCCATGGTTGAGTGGCTCAAGTGGTAAGAGCACCTGCCTAAACAAGTGGCCTGAGTTCAACCCCCTCCTAAAAAAAAAAAAAAAAAAAAAATTAGCTGGGCACCATGGTGGAGTGGCTCAAGGTATAGACCCTGAGTTCAAAGCCTAGTACGGACCAAAAAAAAAAAAAAAAAAAAAAACCTGACACATTGCTGCTGTGGCCATGTGGCTTGCTTTGACCGATAAAACATGAACAGAAGTGACTTGTGTCACTTTGAGGTGCAGGTTTTAAGGGCTAGTGTGTAATTTACCTCATTTTCTTTTACTGTCATTGTAGAAGCACAAGTTGAGATGAAGCCCCTCTCACCATGGCCCTTAAGTAGAGCTGTCCAAGTCCTCAATAGTTTGTAGAGTACATGAGAAACAGACTTTTGTTTTTCTAAGTCACTGGAATTTGGGGATTTGTAGAGCACATGAGAAACAGACTTTTGTTTTTCTAAGTCACTGGAATTTGGGGATTGTTTGTGCTGTCTAACCTATCCTATCTGCACCCTCTTACACAAATGGTAGCCAACTTTACATGCTGTTCACCACCTGATGTTTTTCACTTAGTGATATACCTTGGAGATTGTTTATCCCTACACTTTTTTTTTTTTTAAGTGCTGGCAATTGAACTTAGGACCTCTGGCATGTTAGGCAAGCACTTAACACTGAGCTACATCCCCAGCCCATCCATTTTTCTTTGTAAAGGTCTCATGGCATATTCTTATATAGGAAAGGGCCAGAAATGGCCAGATTTTCCTTAACCAGTGTCCATTAAGGACAATTAGTGTGATTTATCTTTTTGAACACCACCACAAAATAATAACCTTGAATGTGTCTTCTTCTGCTGAGTGTCATGTTATTTATAGGTCAGATTCCTGGGAATGCATATCTCAGATAGTTGATGGCAGATTTCCTTTTTAAAAAACATCACTTTGACTTCAGGAGGAAAATGGCTTGAAAAGCCAGAACCTGAGAGTAACACCTCTTCAGGCCTTATCAATCACCAGATCCAGTTCATTCCAGTACTGCAATAGTTTTCAATCTGTCTACAGTCTGCACTCTGTGCATCGGGTACCATATTCCTCTCTGGAATGGTTCTGCCTAAAAGGTCTACCTCCTGTTTTAGCCGAAGTACTTGGCTGTAAACAACCAAGCCAATTCTGGGTAATTTAGGCAAGGAACTGATTGGACAGCTCCTGGGGAGGTTGCTGAATTCCCCTTCCCTGGAAGGACTGGCTTAACACCTCCATATCTGCCTTTCCCTTCCCCTCCCCCTCCTCTGCTTCCACAAAGAATTCTAAAAGATAGCCCTGTTGCTTTGTGTTGATTACTTGCTTGCCTTCAAAGACCTGGTTGGAAATGTGAATACCCTACAGAGACCAAGGATCTAAGAGAAGAAACTATCTCCTGTCTTTGATCTCCTTGATGGGAAGCAGGAGTCTTCCCAAACTGGAGGGTGTTTAGATGCTGAGGGCCAAAACAACAGGTGCCTACCAATCAGCACTTAACCCATCCTCCACAGTGCAGCCCAGAATCCTTAGGGAAAATAAATCTGTTCACATAACTTCCCACTTCTCTCAAAATGAAGCCCAAGGACTTTCCTGATCCATGTCCTCCTCAGCTTCATTTGGTGCTCCCCTTGCCCACCCCACTCCTTTAAAGTCTTGCCGGATGCTCTGCCTGAGTAACGAATGCATAAGCCCTTCTCCCCTTTCTCTAAAGACCTTTGAACATGCAGTGACTGTCTATCCAGAAGGCCCCTTCCATCCCCACTCCATTAACCTTGAACTTGCACATCCTCACTTAACTCTCAGTTCTAACTTGAACACAACACCCTTCACTGGGTGAGATACCTGCCCTTTGTCCCATCAGCCATTGGGTTTCTCTCTCTCTCTTTTTTGGCTTTTATTTTATTTTATTTTTTGTGGTACTGGAGTTTGAACTCAGGGCCTCATGCTTGCTAGGGAGGCGCTCACCACTTGAGCCACTCCACCAGCCTGGGTTTTTCTCTTAACTCCCATGTGTATTCTAGATATATTCATGTTTTGCCATCTCCATTGCCACCCTGTTAGTTCAAGCATCACCCATCACCTCTCTCTTGAAATTCTGTAGCCTCCCACCTGCTCGCTCTGCTTCAACTCTTGGCCACTTTGGAGTCCACTAGTCAGTGATCATTTAAAAATACATTTATCCTTTCAAGGGCTTCACATTTCACTTAAGACAACAAATCCTTCACTACAGTCTACAACGCTCTCCCATAACCTAGTCCTTGCTCTTCCTGTCTTGGAGCACTGAACCCTGAAGCTGCACGTGCATTCTTCCCCACCATACCTACTCTAGACTCCCAGCTTTTGCACTTGATGTTACATGGATCTACGGAACTGTCACACCGAGAACATTCTCCTTTATTGAACCTGGGGCATCAGGCATGATAAACATTTGCTCTGCCACTGAGCTACATCCCCAGCTCCTTGTCTTATTAGCACTTCCCCCTCTCTGAAACCATCCATTTATTTTCTTACTTACAGGATTACCTCTATTCCCGCCACTAGCATGTAAGAACGGAGTTTGGCTATTTTGCTGACACCACTATTTTCTTCAGAACCTGGCTCAGTGCCTGGGACAAAGCGGGTGCTCTTGCAAGTATTTTTGTATGAATGAATAAACAGGAATCAGAGAAATCTATTTGAATCCGACTCGGCCCTACTAGCTGAGTTTGGGCAAGCCTCCGTTTCCTGCTGTGTGAAGTGGGGGTGGAGGAAATGGGGTGTTGATTAGCTGCAAACCTTCGGCCTTATTTTCCCCCTAGTCTTCGGTCCGCAGGCAGCCTAGCAACATCCTGCACCTCTGTTCCCCACCTGTACAATGGGTGTGAGCTCACCCCAACGTCTAGGGGTGGTAGCGCTGCCTTATATGGCAGAAGAGGCCAAGGGCAGGCGAGGCCGTGTGGGTGGAGAGAAATCACAACATCCGGCTGCGTGGGCGGGACGGGGGTGCCGGAGACTGCCGGACCGGAGGCCGAGGGGTCGCTGGAGTGGCCAGCAGCCTCCTCTGGTCCTCTCCTCGTTCTCGATGTGCGCCCTGCAGGATAAGCCAACCCGAGAGAATACGGCACGACACATGTCCTAACCAAACTCGCTGCTGGTCAGCAGTAAGCCTGAAATCCTAGAGCGGTTGCAACAAAAACCCCAGAAAAGACATCCACGGGCCACACCTCCCCCAACTGATGATCCAATCGGATTGTACTGTCGGGAGTGACTGACGTTTCCATCACTCAATCACGAATCCGGTCTCGTGGGCGTGACCCAGAGGGTCCACCTCCACCTTCCCTGCGGAGGGCTCGGCCCTAATTGGCAGTTCGGTATCCAGCGAAGGCCTAGAAATTCGAACCTAGGGGCCGGACCCCGCCCTCAGACCAACCAGGAAGAGGTGACGCGATTAGTCCCGCCCCCACCCTCCTTTGAGCGAATCCCTCGCTCGATGGGCGGGGAATAATGAAAAGGTAGACTAATAAGAAGCCGACGCGGGGAGCATTTGCTCAACTATTGGCCGAGTAAAGTAAACAGAAGGCGGGGCGGGGCGGGCCGCCGCCCGGGTGGCCCCCGGGAGGGGGCGGAGAGTGTGCGGCGGGCGGCGGCGGTGGCCCGGGAGGCCCGGAGGCCGCGGCGCGGTCACTGCGAGCCGAGCCGCGCCGATCGCCATCCGGCCCTCGCGCGCGATTCCGGCCGGCGGCGCGGCCCGGCGGGCCCGGCGGCGCTGCAGCCCATGGAGCTCGAGAACATCGTAGCGAATACGGTGCTACTCAAGGCCCGGGAAGGTGAGGCAACCAGGCGGGCGCCCGGGCCCGGGGAGCCCGGGCTCGCGGCCTCCGAGCTCCACGGGGCGCCCCAGCCGCTGGATCCCTTAGGGCCTTGGGCTCGGCAGTCTGAACCCCACGCAGATACGAGCCCTTCCGTCCTGTCCTACTCCTCTTCCGCACCTGCCCCCGGGAGCTGGGGCCCAGGAAGGGATTGGGGTCAGGCCGCCGCCCTCGCAGCGGGGGAGGGGGTTGTGAGAAGGAGAGAGGGAAGAAGAGGGGAGGGTGGGACCTGAGTCTCGGAGTCGTCTTCCAGGTGAGAGGCTGGAAGATGTCCCACGTGCCCGGGCCCGGACCCCTTGTACAGCACAAAGTTGGTATTTGGTAAAGGTTGGCGAATGAATGAACAGAATCTCTGCTTAGTGCAATCCACCCAACTCAGGGAAACTCTTGGTCACATATGCTACTAACACAACTGCCACCTGCTAGGAGCTGCAGGACACTGAAAATGGGTGAATGGGTAATGACTTTTGCTCTCTGGAAGCCCATTTTGGTCTACTGAGGCAAATGCTCACAGATCTAGGTGCAAGCTGAACACACTGGGCTGTTAGGTCTGCAAGGTTAAAAGGCCTGGCTGGGGAGCTAATCTGCTGGATTTTGTGTGTGTGTGTGTGTGTGTGTGTGTGTGTGTGTGTTTGTACACCCACGCGCCAGTTTAGCTCCTCAGTGACTCTAGATGTTACCAAAAGGAACCTGCGCTATGAGGGTCCTGGTGGACACAGGACCAGACCTAATCCTTACTGCCCTGAGGTCTGTGTCAGTCTGTCCCTCACTTACCATAGCCCGTTCCAGTAACAATCTCGGGACACCAACACTGTGCCCCACTCTGTCCAGGGTGCTGGACCTTTTTGGAATTCTAGGGTAGGGAGACCACAGCAGTTTTCTACTTTCTGCTGGGCTTCCAGGCTGAAAGAATCATCTGCTTTACCTTTCTACCTAATTTTACAGGTGGGAAACTGCCTTCAACCTGAGATTAATCTCAGGTCACACAACAAGATTGTGATTAACCCAGGCCTAGGACACAAGCTGCTCAGTCCAGTCTGCAGGAATCCCAGAGGAGCCCCCAGTTGGGTGCGGCACTTGGTGCCCTCTGCCCACCAGTGCTTGTCACCACAGGGAGGTGCTGCCTGGAAATGGGCATAGCAGGCTAAGTCCCTAGTGCCAAGGGAGGCTGTCTTATCTCCTGTCCCTTATCGAGTCCAGGGGCTGGGCCTTCCTCTCAGCCTCTGGGGGCATCTGCTGTTTCTGTTCTGCCTCGTCATCCAGCCAGCCAGGGAGGAGGGGTGGGGAGAACCAAGGCTCCCTTCTTAGGGCTGTAGCCAGTTCAGGCCTCAGGCCTGTGGAGGGCACTGCCTCGCTTGGCCCGATAGTGTGGACATCTTTGGACAAGCTTTGTTGGGCCCTAGGCAAGGTGTACGGTGGTATGGCCAGACTGGGCACTGCTGTCTTCACCAGAGAGCCCTTATGCTGGCCTGGCTTTGACTTTCCCACCTGCATGGCTTTAGAGACTAAAGGAAATCCTCATTGTCACTGAATCCTAAATCCAGACCCATAGGCTGGCTGTGTGAGAATCACTTCACAAGCTGGGGACAGGGCAATTTGCCAGCTTTTCCAAGTTATTGGAGCCCTAAGTGGTTTGGGAACCCTTGGTTTATGTGTACAGTTGGCGTTTAATAAATGTCAGACATGTTTGAGTTGTGGGAGCTGGGTTTGAATTATGTGATCTTGGGTAAAGCAATCCTCGCTCAGAGCCTCAGTTCTCTCATGAAATTGTGCCCCATCTGATAGAGTTTCTGTGAGGATGAGGTGGGATAACACCCTTACTGGGGGGTGGAGGCGTGTGCCCTCACTTGGATCTTGTTTTTTTCCTAAGTGCCTTCAGGCACAGGGAGGGAGGTGGTCATGGTAAGGAGGAGAGGAGCCCCATGGGCGCTGCCAGTTCCAGGACAGATATTTGCATGTGACTTTTTGCTTTTGCCTTGATGTGGCTGGGAGGAGGGGGAGGAGGAAGTAACTGGTGGGGGAGGAAGGCGGATGGAGGGTTGGGTGAGGGACCTGCAAGGGTAGAGGGACTGGGGGGAGGGGGGGAGGAGTTCCCCTTCTGGGGAGGCCTTGCCCTGGGTTAGAGGGTGGAAGACTGTGTTGCTAACTCACAGTGAAGCAATGACTGGGCGCATGGAGTATAGGCCGCAGCAGGGCCTCCAGCCAGTTTCTCAAGGGGACCCTGAGCACTTCCTCCTCCCAGGCAGCTTAGCTTCCCCAGGGAGCCCACTGAGGGACCAGCCCTGTTTCCTCCCTGGAAGGCAGCTCCTCCCCCTACGCTGCCTACCACGAGGAGACAGGGCTGGGGAAACTGAGGCCAGGCAAGGGAAAGAGGTTTCCTACGGTTGCTACTGAGTTGTTGGAACTGAGGCTTCACTTCTTGATGTATCCTATGATACAAGCTTTCATACACAGACTGTCCTGTGAATCAAGGACACAGAAAAATCGAGAGCTATAATGAGGCCTTAAAGCGTGAATTGGAGATTGAAATCCAGGTCTATGAGGGCTGCCCTCTGCCCCTAGCATCTTTCAGACATGCCCACATGACCTGGAATCTCTTCCTGGTGGGCCTTGACTTAGGTAGTTCCATGCAAGGTGATTCCCTTCTCTCCTTTTTTTTGGACAGTGCTGGCGTTTGAATTCAGGGCCTCATGTGTGCTAGGCAGGCACTCTTACCGCTTGAGCCACTCTGCCAGCCCTTTTTTGTGATGGGTCTCTTGAACTATTTGTCCATGGCTGGCTTCAAACTGTGATCTTCCTGATCTCTGCCTCCCGAGTAGCTAGAGTTACAAGTGTGAGCCACCAGCTTCTGGCCCTTCTCTATACTTTCTTCACCTGGAGTGAAGTGACTGAGGCCAAACTTCTTTCCAAAAAGGCCTTGCTGCCTTTTTTGGCTCTGCAAGCCTGGTAGCCCCTCAGCAAAAGGGCCCAGGAGGACCATGTGTGTCCTGGAACCCAGCAGGGCATGCGAGAGGACATGGAGGAAGACTGAGGTACCTCCCGTGGCAGGCTAGGCCTTGACTGGATCCTGAAGGCCTCTGGTCCAACTGCAGGTCCAGGGGAAGCATGGAGGCACAGTGGCAGCATGCACGGTCTTGAACAAGACCCAGCACCTGATTGTTTCTGCAGGTGGTGGCGGGAATCGCAAAGGCAAGAGCAAGAAATGGCGGCAGATGCTGCAGTTCCCCCACATTAGCCAGTGTGAAGAGCTGCGGCTCAGTCTTGGTGAGGCCTGGGCAGAGACTAGGGGCTACTGAAGCGGGGATGGGGAGGACAGGAACCGTGGTGCCAGGGGAACCTCTCCTGAGAACTTGCCCTGGGACGAGGGGCAGCGTTGGTGTGTCCAATGACCAGGAAGATTGAGGCTCTACCACCGGCCCAGTTTCAGTTCCTGGGGTTGGGATGGGCGGAGGGCAGAGAGCTCATAGGGCCTGACAAGGGTTGGTGAGAGTGGGTGTGGGGAGGAGGGTAGGGCCAGATCAGAGGGAATCTAAGAGAAGCTGAGGAAGAGCCTGCCCAGGGGGAGGGCCCATGGGCTGCTGGGAGCAGTCCCTAGATCAACTGTTGGGAGCCCCAGACCTGTGCTTACTAGCTCCACAGTGGGATATCCAACAAGCAGGGGCAGTGTGATAGAGTATCTTCTGGGTGGGGAAAGAAGAGCCCAGGACCCCAGTTTCTGCTACCTTGGCAGAGACCCCAGGTCTGACTAGCACCTTGGCTGGCCCAGGCCCCCTCTGATGGCCTTCATGTGGGTGGAGAGTGTACCAAGACTGCTTCCACTGCCTGGGAAGGAGGCCCAGCCCAGAGCACAGCGGAAGCCACAGCTTCCTCTCGCACTTTCGCCAGGCAGGCAACAGGTGTGGGCCTAGCCTGGTCTGGGCCAGGCCGGAACCTCACAGACCACACCCAAACCCATGACATATGCAAGTCTTGTGAACCAAGACATGACAAGAGGGAGGCTTAAGCTCTGGAGCCTGGAATCCTGGCTGTGTGACATTGATCTTAATCACTTAACCTCTGTGGAACTCACACTTCCAAGTTATGTTGGGATTAGCAGTAGTGCTCACCTCAGGGTTGTGGTGAGGGCTCTGAGGCGATAATGACCTGCACATTGCTGAGCTGGAAGTTGTTGAGTTCCCAGGGCCTGGTGGTGTAGGTGGGAGGGCCCTGCCAGTGGGCTTCAGATCTGTGACCCCAGCAGCTCCCATCTTGGCCTGCAGAGCGTGACTACCACAGCCTGTGTGAGCGGCAGCCCATCGGGCGCCTGCTGTTCCGTGAGTTCTGTGCCACGAGGCCTGAGCTGACCCGCTGCACTGCCTTCCTGGATGGGGTGGTGAGTTCAGCCTGCCCTGGGGTCAAGCCCAGCACCGTGGGCAGGCACAAGTCCTGGCTCCTGTGCCCCATTTCCCCACATCTGTTGCTCTGCTTAGACCACAAGCTTCTCTGTCTCCCACCCTGCAGGCTGAGTACGAAGTGACCCCTGATGAGAAGCGGAAGGCATGTGGGCAGCGACTAATGCAGAATTTTCTGAGCCACACGGTGAGTGAGCTGTGATGGAGGATGACGGCTGCAGGCAGGGCTTGGTGACAACAGGGAGAGGAGTGACCACAGCTTGGGCAGTGAGTGCCTTGGAGCTGCTCCAGGCAGCACCATGTGCATGGAACCCAGGGTGTGGTCTGAGCTCAGGCCAGGTGTCTTGCTAGCTCTGCCTCACCTTGCCTCAAGGAATGGGGGTGGCAGGAAGGGAGTCTGGTAAACCAGGCAGCTAGTGCACCATCCACCCACGGTCACCCCTGGCACCTGCAGACATATCTGACAACTCTTGTGCTTGGGAGTAGGAGCCCCATGCACTGACCTCTCTGTGGCCTGTCCCCAGGGTCCTGACCTCATCCCTGAGGTTCCTCGGCAGCTGGTGACTAACTGTGCCCAGCGACTGGAACAGGGGCCCTGCAAAGACCTCTTCCAGGAGCTGACCCGGTAAGCCTCCCTACCCAGAAGGCTGTGAACAGCTCAGCCTCTTGTGGCCTTGACCCTGCTGTTTGACCTTGGCAGTTGTCACTCAAATCTGTAGCATTCTCAGCTTTGGCATGAGAATCCCAACTGCCCAGTGGGTTAGTGGGAGGGTTGGCCAAGGATACCGCTTTCTTACCTGAGCTTGCACATCCCAGGAGGCCTGAGTCCACAGCCAAAAACCTTGGATGTTGGAGTCTGACCTGTGGGCTGGTCCTTCCTCAACAGGTTGACCCATGAATACCTGAGTGTGGCCCCTTTTGCCGACTACCTCGACAGCATCTACTTCAACCGTTTTCTGCAGTGGAAGTGGCTGGAAAGGTGAGTTCCTCCCAGGCTGAGCTGGGATAGGCCATGTTGTGGAGGGTCCTCATGGGTCTTGAGCTCCTGCTCAGTCAGCATTCCTCCTGGCCTACAGGCAGCCAGTGACCAAGAACACCTTCAGGCAGTACAGAGTCCTGGGCAAAGGTGGCTTTGGGGAGGTAAGTAGCCAGGCCAATGCCCCTTGAAGAGGGCCGGATAGGGTGGGCATGGACCAGCCTCACCACCTCCAGCCAGGGCATGGCTGGGTCTCATTTGCCTGTCTTCCTCAACCACAGGTGTGTGCCTGCCAGGTGCGGGCAACAGGCAAGATGTATGCTTGCAAGAAGCTGGAGAAGAAGCGAATCAAGAAGCGGAAAGGGGAAGCCATGGCACTCAATGAGAAGCAGATCTTGGAGAAAGTGAACAGTAGGTTTGTAGTAAGTACAGAAAGGAGATCTCTCCCTTCCCCTGGGCCAGGCTGGTTCCTCCTGCCCTCCCTACCACCAGGCTAAAAGTCTCCTCTTCACCAAAAGGACCATCCTCTGCCCTGCCCCACCCTCTTCAGGCCCTCTGCCCCTCCCTGCCCAGAGCAATGTCCAGGAAGGGCGGGTTGGGGGTGTTGATGCCAGGCCTGGGAAGCATGCTGATCCCCAAGGAGTGGCACCCAGGAGGGTTGTTTTGGTGGCTGGCATTATCCCCTTCCCCAGGCAGCCCCACAACCATTGCCTGAGGGCTCGGGTCCCCTGGCTACAGGTGAGCTTAGCCTATGCCTATGAGACCAAGGATGCATTGTGCCTGGTGCTGACGCTGATGAATGGAGGTGATCTCAAGTTCCACATCTATCATATGGGTCAGGCTGGCTTTCCGGAAGCCCGCGCTGTCTTCTATGCTGCGGAGATCTGCTGTGGTCTGGAGGACCTGCACCGGGAGCGCATCGTGTACAGGTGGGGAGGAGCATTTGCCTGCTGCTGTGCAGGGGATCGCGGAAAGGAGTGTGTGGGGAATATTGTTGTCCCTTCTCAGTCAGGGTTCAAGGGCAATGGTGGAGGCTGCTTGTCAGACCTGAGAGTAGAAGTATGTTGGTGTGCCGGAGCTGTGTCCAGCCATAAGCCACACTGGCTGTGGGCCTGGGTGGACTTTAGTACCACAGACCTAGGTGATTCAAGTGTGAATCCTGATTTGGTTGCCCTTTTCTGTGACCTTGGGCCAGTTGGCTCTGTGTTCCTACACTATTTCCTTTTTGTGGGAAGCAGAGCCTGTCACTCCTACCTTGCAGGTCAGCTCAGTAGTTGGGAGGTCTAGTTATGGTGGTTATTGGTGATGATTTCATGTGAACCTTTATAGCAGCTACCTGAAAGAACAGAAGTGTAACCCAGTTTGACAGAGGAAAGGTAGAGTCAGCCACCAAATGGGAGGGAGCTTCTTGACTACAGGGATGATGAACAAGGCTGCTGGTGATGTTCAGGAAGTCCCTCCTTGGGTGGGAATCATCTTCACTTGCTAGAAAATTCCTGAGAGTTCTGGTTCCATGGATCCTTCAGATCCCTGAGTCAAGGCTGCTGCCTGGGAAGTGCATGGCTGTCTGCTGCTTTGGCAGCAAATGGGTCCTTTATCTTGCTCTGTATCTGATCCCAGGAGGCCAGTAAGCTAGGCAGGGCTGGCCCTGTCTGGCTTCCTGGAAAACTGAGTAGCGTCTGATCCTGCCTTTCTTCTCTCCACAGGGATCTGAAGCCAGAGAACATCCTGTTGGATGACCACGGTGGGTAGGGAGGCCCAAGGGTGGGTGGGATGAGATTGGGAGTCTTGGCCTATTAACGGGCCCACTTGCTTCTCCACCATCATTCAGGCCACATCCGCATCTCGGACCTGGGACTGGCTGTGCATGTGCCTGAAGGCCAGACCATCAAAGGTCGTGTGGGCACCGTGGGCTACATGGGTGAGTATCCCTCTGCCCAGCCCACTAGTCTTCTGGGTCAACCCACTGCTGTATGGAGTTTCCTGTACCTCAGGGAGTAGACAGAGGCCCTACCGATGCTGTTCTTTTCATAGATAGGTGGTCAAGACCTGGCCAGAGTCATATACTCATGAATACCATGTCATTCCTTCACCAAATGTTTACTGACCCCTACAATTGGCTGGGCCTGCAGGTGGCCACCAGGGATTGGAGAAGGGAGTCAACCATTTCCATTGTTCTACCCCTGCCCTCCCTGAATTGGTCATGCTCAAATTAGGCGTACCCATCCAAGATGCAGGCTGATATGAAGAGGTAGAGATGTGACCACGTATTCCCCTTGGGGACCGTGTGACACAGTAGACAGTCCAGGTGCTACAGGTTACACTTCTTGCCTGTTGGGTGACCTTGGGCTAGACATTCCACTCTCTTAGCCTCTTTACTATAAAACATTATCAGAGCTGCCTCCCAGATGTCCTTGAGGTGAAAAGAAATAATTGAGGGAAATTTCCCAAGTGTCTGCTGGCAGGTAGGAAGTTCCAGTGAGTAGGACCCTCCACCTCGTTTCCTTTCAATTATGAAATCCACAAGTTGTGAGTGGTAGCTATATGAGATCAGTTCGGCCTGTATTCATACTGAAATCAAATTGTCAATTTGAGTTGTTTGCTAATGTTTAGTAAGCCAGACAGCTTCATGTAAAAATAGGAATTTCTAGCTAAGGATGTAGCACAATGGGTAGAATGCTTGCAAGCGCGTGGCCCTGGTTCAGTTAGAAGACCTGGAGACCCTAGGTGTGATTCCCTGCTGTCCACACTAGCTTCCATTAAAGGATGTCTTCTGTACTTGCTGAGGTTCCCATTCTCTGCCACTTGTGTTTGAGTTGATCCTCTGATTTTACAAGTGCTGAGCATCCCTGGGGCCCAAGGGCTCTGTTTCCCGCCACCTACCCAGACTCCTGTGTCCCCTGCCCAGCTCCAGAGGTGGTAAAGAATGAGCGGTACACGTTCAGCCCTGACTGGTGGGCACTGGGCTGCCTCCTGTACGAGATGATCGCAGGGCAATCGCCGTTCCAGCAGAGGAAGAAGAAGATCAAACGTGAGGAAGTGGAGAGGCTGGTGAAGGAGGTGCCTGAGGAATATTCTGAGCACTTTTCCCCACAGGCCCGCTCACTCTGCTCCCAGGTACCCCAACAAGCAGGACTGACTGGCCTGGGCTGGAGCTGGGGGCACCTCACTCACCCTTCCTTCTACCCAAGGGCACCCTGACCACCCCTGCCCTGCTACAGCTCCTCAGCAAGGACCCTGTAGAACGCCTGGGGTGTCGTGGGAATGGTGCCCGAGAGGTGAAGGAGCACCCCCTTTTCAAGAAACTGAACTTCAAGCGGCTGGGAGCTGGCATGCTGGAACCACCCTTCAAGCCTGATGTAAGTTCTGCTCATTTCTGCTGAGAGCAGGGCTAAACCACATTGGAGCTGGGGGCCCTTGGACTAGTGATCAGAATACCTTAAGTGCAAATGTTGGAAAGTCCAGTCTCATGGCTTAGCTTTAAAAAAAAAAAAACCCAAAGCAAATACACGTAATTCATTGGGCTCTCGAACATGAAAAGTCCGACATAGGTCTGTACTGGCATATCTGGATGGGATGGGTGGAGTAGGGAGGAGGTGGGGCTGCTCCAATAGTGTTGAAAGAACTCATTTTTTTTTCTGTCCTTCTGCACTGTACTGTTGATTACATAGTCTTCACTGTCAGGAGCTCTCTCCAGGGAGTGGCATTGGTGGCCCCTGCAGCTTTAGGCCCACATCCTACTTGCTCAGCCTTCCCTATAGACAGAAAGCAATTCTGCCCAGGAATTCCAAAAGAATGAGGCTGATGCTTATTGCCTCAGATGGTTTGAAAGACCAAGGACCTTTACTGGCCACACCTGGATCACATGCTTATCTGGTCCACTGCCAGTGGGAGCAATCCATTTCCGAAAGGGAAACCAAGATGGTGGTGTCAGTAAGGGGGACAGCTGTTGGGCTCACTGTCCCTCTTTAGGGGCAACACTCCTCCTTATAAAGTCTCATGAGCATCTTGTGGGTCAGGTACCCTGCGTGCAAAAATGTCCTCTAGTCAACAAAATCTAAGCAGCGGAAACCCAGCGCAAACTTACTTAAGCCCAATGTGGAGAATATTGGTTTGTTTGGCCAGAAAGACCCAGAGGAAGGCCAACCTCAGAGTTTCAGGCTGTGTTGCTAGAAGTCTCCATCCCTTGGCTCTCCTTCAACCTGTTGACTGTATCCTTCACCCTGAATTCCAGCTTCCTTGTGTGTAATGTTATAGGGAAGGTTCTGATTGACCAGGATTGGGTCATGTACTTGCCCCCCTTCTATTTCTATGATGACTAGGTTCTGTGATTGACAGTTCACCAGGAGCACTGGAGGCCTGAAAGTGATGGGCAGGCCAGGTTGACGGCTGTCAACCACATGTGTTTTTTCATTTGACAAATACCTGAGTGCCTATGTGTGCCAGACCTTAAAGATAATGAGGTCCACAGGACCCATGCCTGTCCTTATGTTCTAGTGGGGAGACACCAAAATAAGCCAGTAAGCGAGGAAGAATTTCAGGTAATGCTAAGAAAAAAATGACAAAGGAAAATAAAACAGGCTCACGAGACAGAGAGATGTGGGGACTTAGCAGTTCTAGCAGAGCAGTCTCTGAGAAGCTGATAGTTAAACCAGAAACTGAAAATATGTGAAAGAGAGCCATGCCAAGATTTGGGGAGCATTCCAGGCCAAAGAAACATCTGGGCATTGAGGTCCTAGGATGGGACCAGCCTAGTGAAGTGGAGCAGCAGGGGAGGTCTGTGTGGCTGGAGTGAGTTTGTGCAGGGAAGGAGTGTTGTGACTGGGGACTTTGTAGGGAGAGGGGCTTAGGAATATGCAGTATGGGGAGTGGGTCAGAGAGGTTGTGAGTATAAGTGGGGAGGCAAGCTAGGGAGCTTTTAAGTGACTTTCATGTAGTAGGCCTCACTGGAACCCTGGAGGGTGGGGTGGCATTGTGGGCTAGCACTTGAACCAAGCAGACCTGACTGCATCAACCTTCCTCTGAAGCTGGTACACTGCTCAAGTTTACCCTGCTTCCTGTGCACATCATCTCACTTAACCTTGAAATAATCGCACTGCCTCTGGATCGAGTTCACCTTTTTAGAAGCAAAGGATGAAAATCAAACTTGATGATCTATTTTTAACAGCTTCACTGAGATTAAATTCACATACCATAAAATTCACCCATATAAAGCACTCAGTTCTGTGGCTTTTGGTACAAAAAGTTGTGTGACCGTCACCACAGTAAGTTTCAGTGTTTTCATCATCCCCTTCGACAAAACAAATCCCAAAACCCTGTACCCATAACACTTATTCCCCATTCTTCCGCCCCTGCTCTGGCTATCACTAATTACTTTCCGTATCTTTTTCTACTTTCTGTCCTGGTCATCACTAATCTATTTTTTGCCTATTTTGTACTTTTTTTTTTTTTCTATATTTGCCTATGTTGGATGTTTCATATATATGGATGGAATCATGCAATATATGGTTCTGTGTGACTGGCTGTTTTTACTTAGCATGTTTTCAAGGTCCATCCATGTTGTAGCATGGGTCAGTACTTCATTCCTTTTTAATGCTGAATAAGTTCATTGTATGGATAGTACCACATTTTATTTATTTGCTCATCAGTTAGCAGACATTAGGTGTTTCCACTTTTTTGGCTATCATGAATAATACTGCTATGAACGTGCTTTTCTTTTTTTTTTTTTTGGTGATACTACGGTTTGAACTCAGGGCCTACACCTTGAGCCACTCTTAACAGGCCTTTTTTTGTGATAGGTTTTTTTCCAGATAGTTTCACAAACTCTTTGGCTAGCCTGCCTATGAACCGCGGTCCTCCTATCTCTGCCTCTTGAGTAGCTAGGATTACAGGCGTGAGCACACAGCTGAGACAGGGTTTTGATATGGATATGTTGCCCAAGCTAGTCTTGCACTCAGGCTGAAATATTTCTCCTGCCTCAAATTTCCAAGTAGCTGAGCCTGCCGCTGCTTGCCACAGTGCCTGGCTCTTCTTTGAACATTCTTATACAAGTTTTTGTGTGGAACAGATGTTGTCATTTGTCCTGATACATATCTAGGTGTAGAATGATGAGGTCATAACTATATTTAACCTTTTGGGGAAATGCCAGACTGTTTTGCAAAGCAGATGCACCATGATGATTATGATGATATGCTGATAATGATATGTATAGATGAGTGTGTGAGTGTTTGCTAGGAATCAAACCTAGGCCTTGTACATACCAACAAATGCTCCACCACTGAGCTACACCCCCAGCTCCATGATGCTGATATTTTAATGGCATCTTTAATAGCAGGATTTGGAAGACAGTGTAAAGATGGAAAAGAAAGCAGCCTTCTGATGATGAGGTGGATTTCCAGTAGGGATTGGGGAAGTAGTTGGGAGGACCATTGTGATCCTCTTGTTGGCTGTGAGGGGTTGGAGCAAGCCATTGGACATCCCAGAGTGAGGACCCGTCTACTCCAAGCCCTTCATGGGGGGTAAGGGGGATTCAGCCTGCCTTCCCCTCACCAGCCACATACCCAGGCAACCTGGTGCAGGTGGAGGGGTGGCCCAGCATCAATCCTGAATACAGCCTCATTCAGTCATTGAACAGTTAGGGATAATGATCCCAGTCTACAGAGTTTACTTAGGAAGTGCACAGGGCACCTAGTTGCTGACTATAGACCAGAAAGCTGCAGGTATTGGGGCAGAACCAGGCCAAGGGCAAGTGAGAGACTCCAGACTAAGCTGTGTATGTGTGTGTGCGTGTTTCTGTGGGTTTGCTATCTGACACCTGCCTCTCTCTCTCCAGCCCCAGGCTATTTATTGCAAGGATGTTCTGGACATTGAACAGTTCTCCACAGTCAAGGGTGTGGAGCTAGAGCCCACTGACCAGGACTTCTACCAGAAGTTTGCCACAGGCAGTGTGCCCATCCCTTGGCAGAACGAGGTGGGGGGTGGTCTGTCCCACAGGTGTTGGGGGGCGGCTCCGGGAGTGGCTCTGGGAACAGCTCTCACAGCTGCCTATTCCCGGATAGATGGTGGAGACTGAGTGCTTCCAAGAGCTGAATGTCTTTGGACTGGATGGCTCAGTCCCCCCAGACCTGGACTGGAAGGGCCAGCCACCTGCACCTCCCAAGAAGGGACTGCTACAGAGACTCTTCAGTCGCCAGGTAAGCCTGGCAGTGTTCTCTCTGGGCCCCCAGCGTGGCTCCAGGGGCAGGGAGTTGGTGGGTAGGAGGCAGAGCTGGTGCCCGTCTGTTGGGAGTGGGCTTCCTCCAGCCCGGTCAGCGGTGCCCAAGATCTCTGACCTCATTCCCGCCTGTCCCCACCCCTGGCTGGGCTCATGGCCTCTTTTCTCTTTCCAGAGGTGAGCAGTATGGGCTCCCCATGGGTTGGCCTTGCTGCCTGGCCTCGGGGAGCCCCGGGCAGCTCTTCCATGGCAGAGGCAAGATGTGGGAGAAAGAAGTCTGGTGTCCGCTCCCCCAACCCCTTCCCGCTGCTGTGGTTCCCCGCATCCTGGCCCCTTCAAGCTGCTAACCTTGCTTAGCTGTCTGTCTCCCCAGGCCTGGCCTGTCTTCTGTCCAGGGGCTGGACAGAAGCCTTGTACTGGGAATTCTCTAGTCCCCTTCAGTCTGTTGCCAGAAGCCTCTGCCTTGTTGCAATCCGTGTATGGCCTGAGCTGCTGCTGCAGGTCCTACCTGGGAGGCTTCTTCCCAGAGTATGACCCCCAGCAGGACCCGGCCTGCCCTGGCAGGACCAGCTCCAGGTGATGTCACTGGTGGCTAATGGCGCCTGCTCTGCCTCTCTCCCTCCGTGTTTTCCCATCCCTCCAGGATTGCTGTGGGAACTGCAGCGACAGTGAGGAAGAGCTCCCCACCCGCCTCTAGTCCCCAGACTGAGACCCCCACCGGCGGTTGGCGGTAGCAGCCACTCCCAGCGCTGTTTACAGTTTTGCACAGTGGTTTTCCCCATTGTCCACTCAAGTCGTGGCCTGGGGAACACAGCCGGAGCTGTCCCCAGTGTCTGCCCCTCAGCCCTTGACCCAGCTGAGTTTGGCAAGGCCTGGGCCATCCCTGGGACTAAGGTGCGTCCCTTTAGCTCTTCTCTGTTGAGCTCGGGGCTTTCTGTATTTATGTATTTGTATGAATGTATATAGCGACCAGAGCGTTCTTAATTCCCACCCTAGACTTGGCACCCTGGCCTCAGCTCCCTGGGGCAGCCATCCCTGGTTGGGAGAGCCGGAGCTGGCAGAGGAGCCACTGCCAAACTCAAGGCTTCTCAGGCCTACCCTGGATAAGCCGAGGCTGGGCCAGGACTGACCCCGAGCCCTCAGCATTCTGCTGGCCTCCATGGACCTGAGTGAGACTTGTGCCTGCCCTTGCTGTCCTGGGCTCAGGCCACCACTTTCTGGGTCCCACTGCTGTCATCCCTTCTCAGCACTTGTCAGAGCTGGAGTTGGGACTTGTGTTTCTCCTAGGCCTATGCCAAAGTGTGACCAGAGATTGGACTGACTGTGGGACCCAATAGACCACTGCCCAAGTGGTCCCAGATGGGCCTCCTTCTGCCTTCCAGCTCTTGGGGCACCTTGTCCTAAAGATACCCCTTTCAGAAATGCTCCAGCCCAGGACATGGGAAGGTGTGGGGATGGCCCTGGCCAACTCTCCCAACATTCCAGAATCCCCTCATAACAGTAAACACACGTGCCCAGCAATAAGCCACCCCTCCCTGTGTGTGCCTGTGGGGAGTGTGTGCACGTGTGCATCTATGTGTGTGGTGGGGGTAGGGCTAGGGTGAAGCCCTAGCCCTTCCCAGACTGTGATAGCCACCCTGGTCCCAGTGTTAATATAGCATGGGATTACAGGGCCCAGGTTTTTCCATATCTAAAGCCAGTTTTTCTTACTCATTTTGTCCAATGTAAACTGCCACATGTCTCTGTGTGAATACAGTCTGAGCACAAACCTGGCCAGCTGCCCCTGCCTGCCTCTTTCTTGCTTCTGGTATTCCAGGGGGTCTTCCTGCTTCCCTGGCCCAGCTGGAAGTGGGAAAGGATTGGAGGTGGAGCTGGCAGAGGGTGAAGGGCTGCCCTTCCAAGGCCCAGGACCAATACTGGAGTAGACTTTCCAGGCAGCCAGGCCTGGGTGGCCTGTGGGCTCATCCAGTTGGTTTCCCCATTTCCTAAGTGGGACAGAACCTGAGGACAGAAGCCTTGGATGCCCATTAGAGTAGCTGACTCTGTGCTAGAGAGGCAGGCCCCAGCTAGCTGGTGTTTAAGCCAAGATCATCTGAGGAGTCAGGTAGCAGCTGTTGTTTGGAACATCTGCCCTGACCCTGGGCTGGTGCACATGCATGAGACTCCTCAGTTTTGCCTTTGAAACATTAAATGTGGAGGGCAAAGACTAAAGAGAGGTGATACTGGGAGGGAGGGAATGGAGGGGACCAGCCACCTAATTATCAGAGGGTTTTTTGTTAGGAAGGGTTTTCTTTTGTATTGGGTTTTGTTTGTTTATTTGCTTTTGAGATAGGGTCTTTGTAACTGTTTGCCTCTGGCTGGCTTTGAACAGTGATCCTTCTGATCTCTGCCTGCTTAGTAGCTAGGATTGCAGGTGGGAGCCACAGGACCTGGCATAAGAAGAGAAGACAGAGGTTTGGGAGAGCATTCCAGGGGAACCACCTATGCACATACTTGGGGGTAATAGCTGTTTGATCACAAGTTTGCCTGAGACTAGGAATCTGCCACTGTTGTGTACTTGTAGACAAGTCCTTCCCTTGTCTAGGAAGATGGGTATGAACCTGTCACCTTTCAGGGCGACCATGAAAATCTACCAAAGCAGCCAGTGAGCTCCCTGGAGCCCTAGGTCACCAGCAGAATTCTCAACTGCTGGGGGAACAGACATTGGTAGCCCAGCACCACTTGGAAAAGGGGCCTCTTGGCATATGAAGTGCTTACTGCTGCTTCTAACAAGTTGAAGAAAATAAGTGGGGGGGGGCGCTCAAGATTTTCCAGGGGTGAACGGCCATTGCAGGGTAGAGATTAGGGAAGAGCCTAATCCTGCTCATGAGGTTGAAGTCTGAGGTTCCTTTGTTCTTCTATTCCTGTTTAGGGTTGGGTGGGAGCTGGGTAGGTAGGTATCAACTTGTAGAGGCCAAAGCTCAGCCATGAGCAGATGTGCAAGTGAGTGGGTACCAGATGGACGTGTGGTGTCCTGAGGCACTGCCTGTTACTAGATCAGAATCTTCTCTTAAGCTCTCCTTGGGCTGGGGAGGTATCCAGGGAACTTGGCTAGGGTTACGCTTGGTCACCTAAATCCTTTTCAGAGAGAACTCCCAGAATTCACTTCCCAACGAGCTTTTGCTAAGGTTACTTCCACCCCACCTGGCTCCATGGTGGGAACTAGAGACCCAGATGGAGATGAGACCTCTGCCAGCTTGGAGCTCAGTCTGGTAGGCAGCTCCCTGGGAACAGTGGCCTCCAGTGTGATCATTGTGGCAGAGAGGGTTCTAGGGTGGTGGGGGTGGGGAGGCAACACCAACCAGAGGAGGCCACTTGGCTACAAAGGTGGACATAGGGCCAGATGTGCTAGGTAGAAGAGCCAAATGAATGGTCTAGGAATGCTAATGGTTTAGGATGGCTGAGCATAGAGTGGAAAAAAAGTGGGTGCAGTGAAGTGAGGTTAGCAAAACACAGCCAGCTTTTAGTTTTTTTGATGGGACTGGGGTTTGATGTCAGGGCTTTGAGCTCACAAAGTAGGTGCTCTAATGACTTGAACCACACTTCTAGTCCATTTTGCTCTGGTTATTTTTTTTTTTTGTGGTACTGGGGTTTGAACTCAGGGCCTATGCCTTGAGCCTTGAGCCTTTTTTGTGATTCTTTTTTTTTTTTTTTTGAGATAGGGTCTTGAGAACTGTTTGCCTGGACTGGCTTCGAACTGTGATCCTCCTCGTCTCTGCGTCACTGAGTATCTAATATTATAGGGTGTGAGCTACCCGCGCCTGGCTTGCTCTGGTCATTTTGGAGATTGGGGGTCTCACTGTTTGTCCAGGCTGGCTTTGAACCAGAATTCTCCTGATCTCAGCCTCCCAAGTAGCTAGGATTACAGGTGTGAACCACTGGTGCCAGGCTATGCAGCCAGCTTTGAAAGCCACATTAAGGATACAAGGCTTCATCTAGAAGGTGGGGGAGTCTCAGGAGGGCTGAGACTGGTTAAGTTGGGATGTCTGCCCCAACATCTACAAAAATACCACAAACTTCTTTTGAGGAATCCTTTCTTACTTTCCATGTGATTTAGATGGTACTGGGTTTGCACCCCATTTATACACACACCTAGCATGTGTGACCTGGGTAAGAATGTTACTAATGACAGAACTGTCCTCCACTTAGTGTTAAAAGGACATAGGGTGGGGGTGGGTGGGGAAGGACTAGAGGTATGGCTCAAGCAGTAGAGGGCCTGCTTTGCAAGTGAAGCCTGAGTTCAAACTGCAGTCCCACAAAAAAAAAGGGAGGGGGACATAGGGGTTTGGGGATGCAGCTCAGTGGTAGATGGAGTGTCTTTCTAGCATATGTCAAGTCCTGGGTTTGAGCCCCAACACTGAAAAAACAAAAGGTTAGGGAAAGACAAGAGTCAGAGGTGTTAGTTGCAGACTCATCAGGGCATGACCACCAGAGGCAAGATGGTGTAGCCATTTGTGTCTTGGCATTGAGTCTGACTCTAAATGCAAAGATCCCCAGTGGCCAGGCTGGAAACCTGTCCAGTGTACATTGGGGGAGCAGACGGCCTGGAGACCAGCCATGAAGATACTAGGGGGGTGCAGTATTTCCCCCAATTAAATCTGGGTGCTCATGCCAAAAGGAAGGGAAATGGATATTGGATGGCCATTTTGGGACACATATCCCCTCCCCCCATGACACAGCTGCCTGGATCTGTTCGCTAATGAACACGGCCAAATGAGTCCAAAAAGAGTCATCTGTAGGGCGTTTTTTGTTGTTTGCTTTTTTTTTTTTTTTTTTTTTTTTTGTAGAATGACTCTATTACCTCTGGTAATGGATGGCAGAACATAAGCCTGCAGCTGTGTGGGTCATCCTTGTCATCATTTGGGGACACTGGGGATAACTTGACTGAGCATGATGCAGATATAAGCCTGATGCTGTTGCTGAAACACCTGGACCATCTGTGACCAAAGCCAGCAAGAATCTAGCTCTGGATTTGCCAGTTATGTGAGCCAGTCCCTGTGGCTCAAGCCTATTTATTTTAGGGTTTTGTCTCTTGCAACCCAAACTATACAAGCTGATATTTCTGGTAGAAGGTGTTTGTGGAAGATCACCGTAAGTGCCATAGAGAACTTGGCACAGGAACAGAACTCAATAAAAAGGCCAGGGCAAGGATTACAATCCTAACCACTCAGGAGGAGATCAGGAGGATTGCGGTTTGAGACCAGCCAGGGCAAAGAGTACATAACACACCCTAGTACTCAACACAAAAAAGCTGATGGAGTGGCTCAAATGGTAGAGTGCCTGCCTACCAAGTGTGAGGCCCTGAATTCAAGCCCCAGTACCACCAAAAAAAAAAGACCAGGCAGCCAGGTTCAAAGTGGCTTTTCTGTTGGAGGACCAGAAGAGGTGGGATCCTCTGTACCCTTCGGGTTAGGCTGGCAGAGTGGCTCAAGTGGTAGAGCACCTGCCTACCTGCCTACCTGCCTAGCAAGCGCTAGGCCTAAATTCAAACTGAGGCCCTACATTCAACAACCCCCCAGTACCGCCAAAAAAAACCCAAAACCCTTTTGCTTCCTGGGGTAAGCATGTCCATAGGGGTAAGGCGATGGATTCAGCACTAGTTCCTTCCCCTCTGTGCTGCTTCCTAGTAGGCACCTGGTGATTGCTGGGTGGGGTCCAGAGTTGGGAGAGAGCAACACTAGGGTTCCTACCTGTTGGAACCCTTGCTCACTGAGTACGTGCTTGCCTGACGAGATGTGGCCAGGGGCCTGGATGCGTGCGTGCTCTCCAGGTTGAGCCGTGTGGGTGTCGTGGTTCTTGACCTCAGCTGCTTGACTGAGCATGCAGCATGTGTGCCGCCGTGTGCCCTGGGTCTCCGGCATGTCCCCGGCTGGGTAGCCTGTTGCCAGGAGCTGTGTGGCGTGTGCGTTCCCCGTGCAGGATGCTCTCGCGGGTGTGAGCTGCGTGCCCCTGTGTGCCATGTCTGGGTGCGGCAGGTGGGTCCTGAGTCTTCCCACCCCCTTCCCTCTCGGGGCAGTCTCCTTGGCGGCGTGTGGCCGGGTGGGGGGGGTGCGGGGGAAGGGGGAGCCCTCGGCTGGCTGCCGCGCGCGCGCGCACGCCAGGCTCAACACGCGCCGTGTACGCGCCCGTGCGCGCGCCCCGCGCCTCCAGCCTAGCGCTCAGAGCCGCTTTCGCTGCCAGTGTCTGCTTCCCGGGGCCGCCGCCTACCCAGAGCCAGGGGTTCTGTTCGTTGGGCCGCTCGCCCCGAGGCAGGAAGACGAGCTCGAGGAGGATGCCTGGGCCCGTGAGTACAGCGGCGGCTGCGGGCCGGGCGGGTACTGAGCGCGGGCGGGAAGATGGTCCCGGGGCTGAGCCCTGGGACCGGGGTTTGTAGCTCTACGCCCTGGCCCGGGGTCGCCACCTGGACCCCCGCCCAGGCAGCGGGCAGCCCCTCCCCCAGCTCATACTGGAGGGCCGGAGGGAGGGAGGGAGGGAAGGAGGGAGAGCGCCAGGGAGCGAGGGAGCCCGAGCGGGGCGCGAGCCGCCACCAGCTCGCTTGGAAACCGTTGCCACAGCAACGGGGTTGCGCTCCCTGGCAACGCGACTGCGGGGTGGCGACGCCCCCTCCCCCTCCCCCACTCCACGCGGGGTGGGGGCGCGGGGGTAAATATCGCCCCTCTGGCTGGGCTGGGTGTGCCTGCCTCCACGGCTCGTCGAGGGTGGGGGGTGGGGGTGAGCGGTTCCGTGGGCACGAGCTGGCTCCCACGTGGCTGCAGTCGTCGCAGCAGGGCTCTTAGGGTGGCTGCAAACGTGGAGGCGGCCCAGACCTGGGCCTGCCGCGGGAGGAGGAGGCTTGGAGGCTGGGTCTGGGGTCTCTGCCCGGTAACTCCCATCACCGTCATCATCATCATCAGCGCCTTCTCTCAAGTTGTGCTTCCCAGAGGCGACGTTCTTTACGAGGGAAAAGGAGACAATTTCGCAGACCTCCTCCTCATGGCCCAGGCATGTGCCAGACCTCCCCATGGGCTGGCGGTTGCTCTCTGCTCCATGTTCCTAGTCTCCGTTCTCCAAAAGGGGTGGAAGCAGAGTGGGCAGGAGCAGAGGAAAGGACACTGCTGACCCAGGGAAGCTGAAGCTCAGGCCACATGAGAGCGACCCAGCCCATTGTCTGGATCACAAGTGCCCCTTTCTTGTCTGTGCACAATGCCTCAACTGTGCTGGGTAGTATGCAGGTTGGCTGGCAGAGAGTCCAAGGCCACATGGAGGTGCCCGGTTCTACCGGGTGCGCATCTGGGAGCCGAGTGGCCACTGAGTCAGAGGAAATGACCTCTGGCTCCCCTCCCAACCTTCTCTCAGTGGGCAGTGTGCTGGAGAAAGAAATGGTCCCCACTGCCAGCTCTCCAGGGCCTGACTCAGCAGATGCCAGCCCAGACCACAGGCTTCTGATCCAGCATCCCTATGACCACAAACACCTTGGGTTTCCATTTCCATTCAGGAAGGTATTCCCAGCAGCAGAAGGACCAGTATCTAGGGTGTTTGAGACTCTGGCATCAGATGTCTTTAGATGGGTACTGCCTGGGAAGCAGGCTTGAGTCTCCTGCAGGCAGGGGAGGCCTGGGGAATTATTCACAGGCTCCTTTCATTTTCCTGCTCTGTGTGGAACCCATGTTAAGCACTCTGCATTCATTATCTCCTGATTCTTACAGCAATGGTAAGGTAAGTTTCATCCCCACTTTTTTGAGATGAAGACTCAGGCTCAGGGTGGTGAAGTGACTTGTCCAAGGTCAAACAGCCAGTCTGTTGGCAAGCCCCTCTTGGCTTGCAATACTCAGCTCCTGTGACCCAGGCAGGAAAGAATTGTAGGGCCTTCTTGAGGAGCATTCTTGGCCTTCCTTCACGTTCCCCCAGTGAGGAGGTGCCCTATGTTTTTCAAGGCTTTATGCACCTCTCCTTCCAACCAAATCAGCCAGATTCTTGCTTTTCGGTCATCTGTATATGACTGGGTATATATGTATGTATACACGGATGACTATAATGCTGCTGGGCTGCATTCCTCTCTCCCTCCATTTTCTCTCTCTGGGTGAGAGGAAGCAATGAGGGCTGCCTCAGTCTCCGGGAACAACCCCCTTCCCTCCACCAAACCCCTAATCTTTGGCTCATGGGCTCTGCAGCATTATCAGCTTGTGGTCCAGGCTGTGCTGGACTCTGTGATTGTGAGGATGGAAAACCAAAATGCCTCCAGGGGCCAGGGGTCAATAGAATGTGAGTGAGGTCGGCCAGGGAGCTGCTCTGCTCCAATTGATGTCACCTTGTGAGGTGTGGATTTGGTACAACCAGCTTGTCCAACTTCTGAGATGAGCCAGAAATCTAGACCATTATGCAAAATCTGCTTTTTCTATGTTGGCAACCAATCAGAATATTGAAAAAAATAGATGACTGGGTCACAAACATATTTATGAGCTGTGTCCAAGCAGAGGGCCGGAAGTCTGAGACCTCTGGTCCCTGCTAAGGTGAGGGTAGGTTTTTGCTGGACTACCCCGGCTGCAAACAATATAGTGCCATGGACAGGTGTCCACACTGGAGCCTCTCCAAGCTGAAAGGTGCTGGCATTTGGTTGGTCACATGCTGCTGTGTACACTGGACTTACTTTGTTGTGTTCCCTCCTTGCTACTGCTAGTCAGGTCTCACCATCCCTGCCCTGCAGGTGAAAAAACTGCCTCAGGTATGGGAGTAGCCAGGATGGCTCAGGGCAGAAGTGGGATTTGAACCCAGGACCTCCCCTCAGTGCTCTGCTGTAACAGCAGGCTTCTCCCTACAAGGAGGGGGGAGCATCATCCTCCCCCACTGTGTGGCCATTTACCTGGCAGAGACAAAATTATTCTCATGCTGGGGGAGGGGGTGGAGGCATGGGGAGCCCCTGGAATTGAGGTTTTCATGGAAGAGTCTAGTCTTTGAGTGCCTTGCCCCATGCTCCCCACAAGAGAGCCAGAGTGAGTGCTGAGGGCTGTGTAAGGCCTTTCTACTTACAAGCCTATTGGAGCCACAGTCCCTATTGTCCTGTTTACAATTTCCAAAGCCATGGATTCCTAGCCCAGTGTCAGGGTCAGGTCACAGAGCTTCTCCCTGTAGGCCAGGGGCCAAGCCAGCACTTTAGTCTTGGTGGAAGTGAGGTTGTAGCCAACTCCATGCTTGGCTGACCTTGGGAGCCAAGATAAGTTCTGTCCTCAATCTGGCCTCAGTTCATCCATCTTGGTGTAGGACGGGTTTAGAAATTTCACCAGCGCCTCCCTGAAATGCCTTTCCTGCCAGCATGGTGGGCTTTGCAGTCTCTAGGGCTTTACAACCAACGGGCTCCACGGGCCTGAGCTGGAGCCTGCATCCTTGTCTGTAGAAGGGTGACAACAGCCACCTCCTGATTGTTGTTAAGATCACGACTACAAAGGCCAGTGACATGTGCAAGGCATACAGAAGAGGGTGACAGTCACCTCCCTCAAGCCTGCCTTCACTCAACCTCTCTTTCCTCCTTCCCTGCGCTGTCGGGGTCTGAGTCTCTGTCTTCATCTGAGAATTTCGTGTACGGGGCTCCATCTTGTCACCCTGCTGCCTGGGATTTCCTCTCTCCACCTCAGCCCCTAGTGGGTGCCTCCATGTCATCTTTTCCTTTCGTTCATAAATGTATGGGCTCTCAGTTTTCTTATAACCCACCCTGTGAGGTCCGAGAGCTGGGTGATGGCTTCTTTGTCTGTGACATTTTGGCAAATGACTGATATTTCCCAGGACTGAATTGGATGCAGACCCAGCTCCTGAGGTGTTCTCTCTCCTACAGCTAAAAGACCGAACAGGTAACTGGGCAGCTCCAGTGGCTCTTTTAACAAGTGGCTTTTGAACTTCTGTGTGCCACTTGATCAAGGCAGTAGCAGCCTCTGGTGTTGGACACAGGCTACTCCAGAACATTCTGAAATCATTGGGCTTGATTCTTACCCACCCTGGGGTGAAGTGGCTCAGGGCTGACTTGCCCAGGGAAATGACCTAGGAGGCCCAGAGGTACCAGTAGGAGCTCAGCCTAAAAGCCATGATCTAAGTCACAAGGTGCTTCCTAGCCAGCATCTCTGAGAATTTGTTAGAAATGTAAACTTTGGGACCCCATTCCAGACCTGTTGAATCAAAGGCCGGAAGTGGAGCTGGAAGTAGAAGCCCTCCATGTGGTTGGGATGCTTCTGTATGTTTGAGGGGCAGCAATTTAACTGTTAAGGGCAGGACTGTTTCCTGAGGCAGGGACCCTGGAGGGTTCAGGCAGAGGGCCTGGGGGAAATAAATGGGCAATGTGAAGAGTAGGCTTGGCAGGAGCCCAGAGTGGTAGCAAGCATGGTAATAGGTGATGGTGGCCTGGCCAGAAAAATGGCAGAAAGATTGAAGGACGTGGACCAGTGAAGACAGTCTGCACTGAGGGTGGCGACAACAGAGGTGGCTGGAATGGACAATGGGCCTGTTGCTGAGATAAAGGACCCAGTAGTAATCTTGGGGGTCTAGGGTTGAGGGGCCAGGGTTCTTCATGCAGAGGGACATCATAGTAGGTGCCCACAGTGATGCAAGCAGACCCTACAACATCAGATCAGTGGCCCTTGGGTATCATTTAATCTCTTTGAGCCAAAGTGTTCTTATCTGTCAAATGGAAGGATCACCAATGTGCTTTCTAGGAAGATAGGGAGAACTCTCCGTGGTGTCCTGCCCTAGGCAAGGAGCACCTTAGGGACATGTGTCTACATCCCCAGCTCAGAAGTGGCAGCATCAGAGCGAATGTTTGTTGTGCACTTCCACATCCTGTGCACGGGTTAGTTGTCACTATAGCCACAGAAGAGGGAACTGAGGGAGCATGATGGTTAGGAAATGCCTGGGTCTTACTTTCATCCCCCTGCTGAGTGTGGCCTAAGAATACAGTAGAAAACCACAGGCTCAAAATGCTACATGGAAATCAAGATGGAATCCTAAGGGATGTTTAAATGATCTGCAAGAATGTAAGAAAAGAGACCCTGAAAACAAGTAAGATGGCGGACATAAGGATGAATTCATCTGAAGAGGGCACAGCTCCTGACAGATAGCAGAGTTGGACACGTGGCAGGGGTTTGTTGCTATCAGCAGTCTGGAGGAGTGAAGCAAATGGCTGAGACCAAGATTGTGGATCTGAGTCTGAAAGGTTTGGCTGGTCAGTCAGCATTTTAGAAGGCCTAAATGAACCTCTCCATGCTTTTGTACTGAGCATCTGTTATGCACTAGGAGGCTGCTTCCGTCAGATTACAGCCCTCGGGGCCTGCTATAGCCCTAAAATGAGTGTTTAGCATCAACACCCCCACCCCTAGCCCCTCAAGCTGGATGTTGGAGCCAGACTAGGGTCAAAGGGCCAACTCAGCTGTGAGGCCTCTAGCAAGAGACTTCTTTGTTGGCCCACAGTTGCCTAATCTGTAGAATGTAGCAGTGATGCCTACTTCTTGGCTAAGGGGTGACAGTGGCACCCAGATTTGGGGAGTGACCTGGCCTAATGCCCAGACTGCTAAATTAGGCACCCTCAGGGCATAACTCCTACATTTCGTTCATTGTTGAACCTGGAGTGGCCATTCCAATCTCTCTCATCCTGTCGCCCTTCCCCCACCCTGTCCACAACAGCTGTGGGCTGGTGGCCACACACCTCAGGGCCTTGGTGAGAACAGGAACATACATGTTGGCTACTAGTTGGCTAGACTGCCCATTGCCCCAAGGCTGCCAGTTCATGTACTGAGCACTCACAAGCACCAGGCTTCTCAGTCACATCTCACTCGGTCACATAGGGCAAGTGTTTAGACACAGAGCTTGTATTCAGTTGCAGGCTAAATCTTAGTTCCTTCCCTTAGCTGTGTAACCTGGGGTGAGTCATTTCGCTCTCTGAGGCTGCCTTATCTATCAAGTGAGTACAACCACTTACTGACAATCGTGGGGTTCTGCTTGGAAAGACAAAGAACAAGTCCTGATGGCCCTTGACAGCTATATTTGTATTTTTAAAATTTAATTAATGAATTTTTTGTAGGACTTGGGTCTGAACTCAGGGCCTACACCTTGAGCCACTCCACCAGCCCGGTTTTTAGTGATGGGATTTTTTGAGATAGGGTCCCAAGAACTATTTGCCCAGGCTGGCTTTGAACCTCCTGATTTCTGCCTTCTGAGTAGCTAGGATTATAGGTATGAGCCACCAGTGCCCAACTTGACAGCTATTTTTTAAATAACATGAATTTATCCTTAGAGATGGCATCTCATTGTTTCCCCAGCACAGGGCTGGACCCAAACTGGGCTGAAGCCATCTTCCTGCCTCAGCCTCCTGAGTAGCTGGGATGGCAGGCCTGTGTCACTATACCTGGTTCTTGACAGTTATTTCTAACCTTAGCTAAGCCCCATTACCTCCAGCCACGCAAGTACCTTTTCTGACCCAGAGCTCTTCCTGCCCTATCAGGCCAGGGGGACCCCTAGTTAGTGCCAGTTTCCTTCAGAACATTCCTGTTTCTAAGGACTCAGGAAAAGGAGAACAACAGATTTAATTAACTCCCAGTGACTGGCAGCATCGTGTTTTTATCCGGGCTGCGTCGCCATGGCAGCTTCATGGCAGGGTTGTCGAGGGGGCGGGCAGAGCTATTGTTCCTGCCATTGTCTGTTCTGGAACGCAGGCCCAGGAGAAAAGGACTGGCACAGGCACCAAGTGGCACATGGCTGAAGGCAGTCATGGAGTCAGACAGGAGCCATCTGGGGAGAAGCTGGGGTGGCAGTGGCCTGGCAGCCTTCTAACCTGGGGCTCAAGCTCCCTTAGTGTGGTGTGCAGTGGGGGGCAGGTGGGTCACTGGAGCTCCTGGAAGAGGCCCATAAAGAAGCTTAAGCAGCAGCACTCCCCACCCACTCAGGATGGGGCTTTGTGGCCAGGCCTGGGTTTACATTACACAGCTAATCACTCCCCAACCCCTCATGTGTGAAAGAGACATTCCAGTTACCCAAAGGGTTGTGTGTTAAAGTTCCTGTCAGCAGGTACTCAAAAAGGACTTGCTTCTGCTCCGTGGGAGTGGTGACCTGTCACCCGCCACCCTTCACTGCGTGAAGATGCAGGGTTGCCCCTCAGCCTTGACCATAGAGGAGGTGGAACAGTGAGTGCAGGACTAGGTGGGTCCCAGAGGCAAGCTTGTGAGTCTCACTTAGTTTTCCTTTCCATTCTGCACAGGGAAAGGAATCGGGGAAGGGAGGTGGCAGCCTGGAGATACAGTAGTAGAGCCAAGTGGGGCTGTGGATGGGTAGGAGGCGGGAGAAGCGGAGTTGGAGCTGGAATAAAGCAGGCGGAGACGCCGAGAGGAAAGGAAGAGAGCCTGGCCCACGCCCGCAGAGACGCGTCACGCACAAAAGCAGGGACTGGTGCGCAGTGGCAGTCGGAGCCAGCCGCCCAAGTCCCCTGCAGGTGTGGTGATCAGAAGGCCGCGGTGCTGGGCTGAAGCTAGAGTGGGATGGGCGGCTAATGGGGCTCTAGGAGGTGGACTGCCTTTACCCGGCACAAAGTAACCGCGCCGAGACTCGCCTTCAGCGCCTTGGTGTCCACAGTCCTCTGAAAACAGTTCTGGGCTGGGGTAGCCTGTGCCCGGGGGTTACGGGTGGCGAATCTCTCACTCGGGCTCAGCTTCCGAACCTGGCCTTCGTGCGCCCCCTGCTGGCCCACTTCGGGTCCCGTCGGCACCTGCAGCGGCTGGGTCTCAGATCGGGGAAACCCTACACGGGAAACCTCCGAGCGTGACGTCATCATCGGTGACGTCACCGCGCCCCTGGGGAGTGCGGGGGTTCCCACAAAGGAGGTTTTCCCGGGGCAGCGTGGGCCGGGAAGTCGTCGGGGGCCGCGGCGAGCCTCTCTGTGTCCGCCCCGCAGGTCCCTCGCGGCCCCGGGTGAGACACGCCCGCGCTGGCCGGCGCCATGGGAAGGAGCAGGCGCCACAACTGCCCCCCGCCGGCGCGCGCACGAGTTGAGCCCCGCCGCAGGCAACCCCCGGCCGCGGGTCCCCGAGTGACGCTGGCGGCACCTGGGAGCGTGGCGCGGGCTCGGGGTTACGCAGAGGAGCCCAGTGTTCAGTGAAGCTGCTGAGGACCCGCCGCCCGCGCCGCCGCCATGGTGATGTCCCAGGGCACCTACACGTTCCTCACGTGTTTCGCCGGCTTCTGGCTCATCTGGGGTCTCATCGTCCTGCTCTGCTGCTTCTGCAGCTTCCTGCGCCGTCGCCTCAAACGGCGCCAGGAGGAGCGACTGCGTGAGCAGAACCTGCGCGCCCTAGAGCTGGAACCCCTGGAGCTCGAGGGCAGCCTGGCCGGGAGTCCCCCGGGCCTGGCGCCGCCGCCACCACCGCACCGCGGCCGCCTGGAGGCGCCGGCGCACGCTCATTCGCACGTGCACGTGCACCCGTTGCTGCACCACGGGCCCGCGCAGCCGCACGCGCACTCGCACCCACACCACCACCCGCTGCCGCACCCACCTCCGCCCCACCTCTCGGTGCCACCCCGGCCCTGGAGCTACCCGCGCCAAGGTGAGGAGTCACCTCCGCTAGTGGCGGGGACGGGGCCTCGGCGGGGGGCGGGCGCGCTCTGACCCACGTGGCTTCCACCCGGGAGAACCTGGGAGGGAGCGGGCTGGGGCTGGCGGGGAGCCTAGTTCTCTGCGGAGACTGGGGATCTGTGGCCTCACCCTCTCGGACCCCTTCCCATTCCGCAGCGGAATCGGACATGTCTAAGCCACCATGTTACGAAGAGGCGGTGCTGATGGCCGAGCCGCCGCCCCCCTACAGCGAGGTGCTCACGGACACACGCGGCCTCTACCGCAAGATCGTCACGCCCTTTCTGAGCCGCCGCGACAGCGCGGAGAAACAGGAGCAGCCGCCTCCCAGCTACAAGCCGCTCTTCCTGGACCGGGGCTATACCTCGGCGCTGCACTTACCCAGTGCCCCACGGCCTGCGGCACCCTGCCCTGCCCTATGTCTGCAGGCTGACCGCAGCCGCCGGGTCTTCCCCAGCTGGACCGACTCAGAGCTTAGCAGCCGCGAGCCCCTGGAGCACGGAGCTTGGCGTCTGCCGGTCTCCATCCCCTTGTTCGGGAGGACTACAGCCGTATAGAGGGGCGCCCGGCGTCCCGGGCCCCACCGGCGAACTCCTGGCCTGACTGCGGGGCTTTTTAAATGCTTCCCTTGGACTGCGGGGAGGGGTGGGAGGAGGGAGGGATTTCTTACCCTGTTTGTTACATTTTGAGGATAATAAAGGTGTGTGATCTGCTTTGGTACAAGCGGAGGGAGCACCTGCTGCTTGCGCCCAAGGTTCTGGTGACCAGGCATGGGGTTGAGGTAGGGGGTGCTTAGCAGGAAAGGGACCTGATCGCATGTTTCCTACAAGCTGGTCGGGAGGTAGCGAAATGAACCTATGATCAGCCTTCAGAAACCAGAGGCTGGTTCTCTCCTGGGGCATCACACCCAACCTAGCCTGCTTTTGTGGTCGCAGGGCCCTCCTTGATAGCAGAGGTAAAGTGTCCTCTGTAGCTTCGGAGGTGGGAGGAGTTGGAATGCGGGTCCGAGCAGACGGCCCACGCCAGATCAGCCCCTGGAGGCCCAGAGCAGCAGGCCCGAAGGGATCTGGATTTCTTTATTAACAGACATGAGCACGACCCGTTACAGAAGTTTGTGCTTTCCAAAAAAACAGTTACTGAATGTGAAAAAGGAACCCAAGCAAAGAGAAAGGAGTTGGGAGGGGCCACCCAAACCCCTGGGCCCCATCCATAGCCCTGACCTGAATCACGCCTAGGGCCTCCAGCCTGGGACCTGCCAGGCAGGAGAGGGCGGGAAGCCCAGGAGCCCCAGCTGGGCCTGCTACTTCCTTTCAGCCAGGCAGGGAAGGGTCAAGAGAAGGGTGGGGAGGGGTTCCCAGGGAGCCAGAGCCACGAGCCATTTATTGCCATGTTTTTAAAATTCGTGCAAAATACCTGAAGCCCTGGACAGAGAATACAAAGTGATATTTTTCCAAGAAACATAAAACTAGGAAAAGAGGTGGGGGGACATTTTCCCACCAGAGCTCTCCACCCCCCAACACCAGGCCCCAAGCAGGGTGAGGCCTCCACCCCGGCCAGCTGAGCGGGAAGGACTAAGCTACAATCTCAACCGGGTGGGGAGGGAGAATCTGCAACAGCGTCTCAACTACCAACGGGAGGAAAACCAGTCAACTGTACAAGTCTCCTATCAACTTTAAAAAAAAGAGAGAGAAAAGCTGTAAAAGTCAGGCCCTGCGGGTAGGGAAGCGGATAAGTCCCCGGCCAGGGCCGGAATCCAGAGTGGGTGCCAGGCGGAGCTGCTGCAAATGCAGGCGCTGTGGGCCGTCTGGCCAGAGGCCGGCGCAGGTGGGCGGCCTTGGCGAGGGCAGCCAGAGGGCAGGCGCCGCCGCTAATCGCCACCCTCGAAGCCCTCCTCCTCTTCCGGTACTGGGTCTGCATCCCAGCAGGTGATGTCGATTTCTGGTGTTGACAAGGGAGAGGAGTTACTTAGATGGTCCAACCACTGAGAGCTGGGCCAACTATGTGTGTAAAGACACTGGGGGCCCACACTCAAACCCCACACCCTTACCGAATTCCTTCCCCATTGTCCATCCAGGGAGCACTACCTGGAGGCTTGTTGTAGAACACAGGAGGCGGAGCCTTTGCACACAGCTCTTCTGATTGGGCAAACTCATCCTCCTGTGATTGACTGAAGTACCCTTCGCTGGCCTGTTGGGGGGGGGAGTATGGTCACTAGGACACACCCTCAAAGGCTAGACGCTGACCTATCAAGGCCTGAGACCCTCCACCCCCCCCCCCCCCCACAATGATTCCGTCAGTGGTTGCCAGGGAAACAGATGCCTGCCTTGGGAACAAAAGCAGAGCTGGCTCAGGGAGGGGGAGTGGACTGGAACTTCCCCCAATAATATGGGTCAGTTAAAGGGGGACACGGCTACAAGCAAAGTCAGCCCCCTGACCACCATCCCTCCCACCAGGCTGCCCTTGCCCCACCTGGGTCCCCTCCTTCTGGGTGGTCTCCCCATTAGTCAGCAGGTGGGGTTCTGGCTCCAGCTCCTGCTCCTGCTGTGGCACCTGATCCACCTCCTCCAGCGCTGAGGGCAGAGTTGGGGCCTGGGGGACAGTCAGGGGTTCCCCTTCTACTTCCTCCTCTGGGTCACAGAAGGTAGCTGGAGGCTCAGGCAGCTCATCAAAATTGAGAAGGTTGGCACAGCCTTCGCTTGCTGGTGGCAGTGGCTCCTGAGCCACATCATCCATCAGAGGCACCTCTGCCAGGGTGACCTCAGCACCCGAGGGTGGTGTGGGGGCTCTAGGCTCAGCCTGGGGTGCTGAGGCCCCTTCCCCATTGCCAGGCCATAGGTCAATGAGGCTGGCAGTGGCAGGGGTGATGCTGTTGGCAACAGTGGTGTCAGCAGTGGCAGTGTCGGTTTCTATGGTGTCAGCTGCATGGGCATCAGCCACTGAGGTGTCAGCTGCAGTGGTGTCAGCAGGGCCAGGCTCCACAGGGGAAGCCAGGACAGCTGGCTCCGGAGACTCCGTGACCATCAAGTCCTCCATGGGGCTGCCTTGCCCTGGGGAAGGCTCCTGTGCCTGAGGGGGCTCCTCCATGGGGTCAGCCCAGGCCTGAGGGGTTGCTGCTGCTCTGGCCTCCTTGCTGGTCTCTTCACTATCCAGGCTGGGGCTGGGCTCCTGGGTGTCTGTCAAAGCACATGTGGAGGAGACAATGCAGTCAGTCAGTCCTCTTGGGGCAGGATGGAGATCCTGGGTGACTACAATACCCCATCCACCCAATGGGGAGTGAGGGGGGACTTCTGCAAAGTACACCTCCACTAGGACTTCCACACAGGGTACCTTTCAGCACCAGTGCATGCTGATCTACCTTTACTAGTGTCTTTAAGCCACTGGGCGGCTCCAGGAGGAAGGCTCAGTGTCCAGAGATGGGCAATGAGCCACTGAGGTTTAGAGAGGCAGCTCTGACTGCAACACTAGGGCTCTGCCCTGCCACAGCCACTTCCAGGGCAAGGCAGTTTAGGGAATGGGTGGTCCAGTTCCCTGGCTGTTACTATAGCAACCAGGGTTGCCAGCTCAGGAAGTGATGGGCACCCCCTCTCACCCTGAGCTGGTGGGGGCGGTGGTGGCAGTGGTGGAGGCTGTGAGGATGTGACCTCATCCAGGGCCCGCTCGATCTGCTCAGTGACAGGGGTGGAGGCCGTGCTGGAATCAGATGGGCTCCGGGTGGGGATGGGGGTGGGTGCCATCCTCCGGTGGCTGTCCAGGTGGCTGCCTGAGGAACAAAGCCCCAGGTTAGTCAGAGGGGGTGGGGGAGCCAAGTGGGATTAGGATTGTCCACCTTGGGGTCAGGCCAGCACCTTGTCTCTGGAGTCTGGGTGGGGGCTGGGAGCTCCCCAGGCCCCCCAGGGGCCAGACCACAGCTCCAGACCCTGTAAATTAGGCCCCCAGGGGCCAGTGCCCTGCAGGGCCAGGGGCAAGAGGCAGGCAGTACCTGCCCTGGGGACAAAAACCAGAGATGCGCAGTCAGGCTGCAGGAGCGAGGGCCGGGGGGCTGCTGGGAAGCGGGGCCCTCCTTACCCCCCCGCCGAGGCCTGGGGCTGCTACCTACATGGGAGGGAGGAAGAGAGGTTTGGGGTGCGGTGACAGGTGATATAGGGAAAGGGAGTCCGTGGAGGGGAAGAGGAGGAAGAGGAGGAGGAGGAAGGCCCACTGTCCGATGCCTTTATGAAAGGGCAGTACGGACGACCTGCCGAGAGAGACAGACAGAGAGAGACAGAGGACAAGAGAGGGTCAGTCTGCCCCACCCCTGCCCCAAGGCCTCACTCACCCGCCCCCAGGGCAGCCTTGGATGTACAAGCTGCCTTCAGCCAGGGCATACATTCAGCCAAGCTAGGCCACAGCCTCAAGCCATCTGATGCCTCCCACCAGCACCAGACACACGGCCATGAACTTGCCACACACAGCCAGCCTCTTGGAGCAGCAGCAGCATCGGAGCCAGTATGCCCCAACCCTGGGACCCCAGCTCAGGACCAAGCTCTCCACGGGTGCAAACACTCAGACCAGCAGACAGGGAGTGGAAAGGTGCTTGGGGTGGGGGTGGGGGCGGAAACTGCACAGGGAGAAGCCAAACAAGGGACTCTGGGTGCAGGCTGCTCAAACTCAGGGCCAGGGCAAGAGCCTGTCCCACATGCAGTCACAACCCTTCAGGCCAGACCTAGTCCAACCCAGCAGGGCAGCTCCTGGCAGCCAGCGGTGTGCCTGTGCCCACACCAGACTTGCCCAACTTGCCTCAAGTACTACTAACTGCCCAGCCAAGGCACAACATCAATACCGCCCCCCAGCCCTTTTGGGGGTATTGCCACCTGGGAAGCCATGGGTAGAATCACACTGGATGGAAGGGTCTTGCCTTCTCCAAGGGGTCCTTGGGCAAGGCTTCTCTTCCAAGAAAGACTGCCAAAGGTGCTTGGGGTCATAACCTGAGAGGTGGGGGCCAGGGACTACCTGGTCGGTGGTTGAAAGGTGAAGGTGCATCGCAGCTGCTGGCGGAGGCTGATGCAACTCGTTCTTGCTGTTTAAAGAACTCTCGTGGGTTGTCAGGCCGCTGGGCAATGATGGCGGCTGCCTCCTGAGAGCACAGAGAACGGTTAGAGGTGGGCTGGGTGAAGCCAAGCTGGGGCAGTCCTTGCCCCATCTCAATTGCTACCCTACCAGCTCTTACCTCCACCTCCGATTCTGATTTCTTCATCTGGGTCTCTTCCTCCTCATCCCGTTGATCACCCTAGAAACCAAAGAGACAGTGTCCTGGACATTGGTCCCCACAGGGACTCTTGACCTCTTTATAGAACCCCCATGTCTTTTCCATAGTCTGGCAGTAAGGGTCCCAGGTGGCCCCTCTGCTCCCCTCAGCACCCAGCCACACAGCCTTCTCTCCACCCTGAAGGCTCTCAGTGTCTCCTGCCCAGCCTGGCAAGGCTTTGGGCACCTGGCTTACTCATCCCCTTACCTAACTAGGTGCCCAAAATCAACTAGGGACACCCCTTGTTTTTTTTTTTTTTTCATTTTTCTTTTGTTATTCATATGTGCATACAAGGCTTGGTTCATTTCTCCCCCCTTCCCCCACCCCCGGGACACCCCTTGTTTTGCAGCTAGTTGTTTGACTTCCCATCCCTGTACTTGGGTCATCACACACACTTCATTGCCACTCAGACACCTGCAGCACGGCTGAAGCCTCTTTT